AATTCAGCGGGCCCAAAGGGAAGAAAATTGAGGGGGCAAAAATCCGGATAAAAAATGGTTTATTTTAATTTATAGTTTGAATTGGAGATATAATTAAAATATAGTTTTAGTGAAAATTCAAAAAGTTGTTAGGATAGAAATTCAAATAAAATAATATTATCTATACACCACCACCTCCACACCTCCACCGACGCCGCCCGCTGCCGGACCACCTCCTGCCGCCGCCGGTCGGCGACCTGCCAGCCGGATTCCGGCGAGATTCTAACGACTTCGCCGGAATTTTGCCGGAATCCGGCTGGCCGGTCGCCAGCCAATGCGCGGTCCGCCGGCCACAGGAGGTGGTCCGGCAGCAGGCGGCGGCGGTGGAGGTGTGGAGGTGGTGGTGTAAAAATAATATTATTTTATTTAAATTTCTATCCCAACAACTTTTTGAATTTTCACTAAAACCACATTTAAATTATATCGTCAATTCAAAGCAATAACTGAGCCAAAAACTTAAATAAACTATTTTTTATCCGAATTTTTACCCCACAATTTTCTTGCTTTTTTTAAAAAAAATTTTGAATTTTGAATTAATTATTATAGCGCAGTAAAATTTTAGAAATAACTCAAGATTTATTGTAGCTGTCAAAGTCAAAAATCTTGGTTTTGTTTTGTTTTTTTTTTTAATTTGAATTTTAAATTATTTATTGTGATTCGATAAATTTTTAAAGTTACAGTGGGCGGTTAAAAGTGCAACATAATTAACATTTATTTTAGTAAAGAAAAAAGTAACTCTGAAAATAAGTTAAAATTTTAAATTTTCAAATAACATTTTAAATTAATAAATAATATTTTAACAATTAAATAATAAATGTGAATTTTTATAATATTTTTAATGATTTAAATTTTAATGGAAGTTTAAATTATATAAAAAGACGAAAATACCCTTGATTCCGGCATGTCAATTGCCGGTCAACATCGAGTTGGACGGAAAAGTGGTCGAAACAGTGAAATGGGACCAAAAAAGTGTGAAAACATATTGTTTGGAACTACGATATTGAAATGGTAATGTTAGGGACATAAAATCAAGTAAGCCCAAATGTAAGGGATCATTTGGACATTTTAGTCTAAAAAAAAAGCAACCGATCATACTTCTTCAAAATCTAGACCATTTAGGCGGGTTGTGCAACGGTACTAAACTTTAGGTTGACAAACTGGGAGATTATGTTATTCAAACAACTATTATATTCAGATCAAATACCAAAAAAAAAAAATTCCATATAGGGACATTCAAATTGTTCGATGTAAGGATACTGGTTAGATTCAAGAAGAAATTCTATGAAGATCAATAACAGTTACGGGTCTCGAGAATTTAGCAATTGATTTTTTTCGTCACGTCCAATCTTCGTATAAGGACATCCATATGTTGTACCTTCTAGGGTAAAATCCAAAGAAGATCTCAAAGTACGCATATATAACAAGAAAAGAGAATTTAGCAATCGGACAAAAAGTATTGTTTATAAAGAAACACTTCGGAGAATATAAATCTACAGTAGTTTTTTCGATTTTAATTCATTTTATCACTTTATCCTTAATATCATATACAACACTTTGTGTTTTTACCATCAAAATTGAAAATTTCACAATTGCAAAATATGTATTATTCCCTCATATTTAAACAAGAGCAATCTGTCAATCCGTGTAATGCACGGGCATAAACTAGCATGTTCTGAAAAGTAAATAATTTGAGATATTATTTATTGACTATCAAAATTGTAGATTCGATAATAATAGTTTTAGTGACGTCCCGAAAATTAATAATTATAAACTTATATTCATAAATGTTACTCCTTCCAATACTTATTGTAATTTGATTTGTCCTAAGTTTTACCTGATACGTTTTTTTGATCGAAGAAAAAAATTTCTTAAAAATACATTTTCACGTTCGTTTTATTCACATAATTATTAGAAAATATGTTTAAGGTTTTTTTTCCAATTGAAAAAACATACACTAAGTAAAACTTAAAACAAATCAAAATTACTTATAATAAGTACAATTTCCTTTCCTCCTGTACATATTTTGACCGTCAAATTTTCAAGTCAACCAATATAAGTGTGTAAACTGTAAAAACTAAAAAATAACTGTTAGGGTTTTTTTCGATGATCATATAAATTAGCTTCTTTTTTTCCCCTCTCTTTCAAGGGTATAAAAATTCGCAATTTTCTTTTCCTCCCTCTGCCAAGTAGTTCGAAAGCATCAGTCACAGCAACCTACAATTTTCTTCGTGTCTTGAAAAATTGAGTCCCTCAATTGAATTAACTTTGTTTCTTAGGTTGGTCTTTTTCCTTTTGTTTTTTTTTTCCCTTTCGAACACATAATTTTTCCTTTAGAACAACAAGAATGATTCTGTTACGGTGGAAATTGTAATCGCCAAGTTTGGGGGCATCTTGTAACTTGTAAGAGCATCTCCAACTAAGACACCAAAACTCTAAATTTGGTGTTTTTGCGTAAAGATTGCGCTCCAACGAAGACACAAATCACTGTACTATTTTGGTGCAATGAATAGTACTACACCTGATTTGGTGTAGATTATCCATTACACTATTTTTAGTGCACTATGTAATTGCATTTGTAAAACGAATTATGTTGTGAAAATTATATCATATTAAATATTTTATTGAAATCTACAAAATAAGACCCATATTAAATATAAAATTTATTTTTTTAAAAAATAATTTTAGTTGTTATTAAAATTAAAAATGAAACAAAACTGAAAAAATGATACTACTACAGTCAAATAAAAAGCGATTATAAAAAATAATTTCACAAAATTATCAATAAATTACAAGATTTTAGTTAACCACAAAATAAAATTTAACCTAAAACATTAAATATTTAAACTATTTGATTCATCAAAGAACTTTGGGGCCTATTTGGTTGCAAGGGATTTTGGGCTGGAAAGTAATCTGATTCCTTGTTTTTAAATTCCAGTATTTGTTTCGCATAGGAAAGTAATCATTTTCTGAATTCTTAAATTTTCTTTGTTTGTTTACTTTTGGAAAAGGAAAAAGAATCCTGAAATCAAGGAAAATAAATATAACTTTCCTGGATTATGATTCCTTATTTTGGAGGTGGTATTGTGATTCTTATCTTTTAGGATTTTAACATTTACTCACTTTTTATTCTCCATAACTTTTTTTTAATCATCATTTTCATATCATTCATATTTATGTATCTTTTCTTAATCTAATTTATTTATATATATAGTTTTTAAGTTTTTTTTTGCAATTTGATAAATTATCTGTTACATTATTAATTGACAAAATATTTGATTTGCCACCTAAAAAATAGACACTTTATCAAATTATTTTTTTTAATAAATAAAAGATAGGACTTGGATTATGCTAGGAATAAAAATGAGAAAAATAACTTTTAAATATTTCTTTAAAGTATATCACAACATTGTAGAAATAATTTTTTAAAAATACTGTAATACTTATAAGATAATTTTAGTCATTGTAAATAAATTTAACACTAAAAAACTCATGTATATCATATTAAATTAAATTTAAATTTAATTAATCTAACTCAAAATTGAATCATCTTTGATGGATTATAAATTCAAACATTCAGACACCCATACTAGTAGATGACGTTACACTTTGAGCATATCTCCTCGAGATTTTGAATCGAATTTCATAAAAAATATTTTGAGGGCTTATAAACTAAAAAAATATTATTCTTACATTCAAGTATATTTTCCAAAATGTAACCAAACAGAAGGAAAGTATTTATATTCTTCAGAATCATATTCTTAGGAATCTCAAAGTAAAGTAAAGTATTAATTTTCCTTAGAATTAAAATCTCAGGAATGCTAATTTTACTTTCTCCAACTTTCCAAACAACCAAATAGGCCCATAGTGTAAAAAGATTCTGGAAATATTTTATTTTTACACTTAATTTGGTGTAAATTATAGTGAAATGATTGGAGATGCTTTAATATTGTGAGTCATCACAATTTGCTTTTCCTTATTTTTTGGCTGTATGATGTATTCCACCAGATTTTTTTAGGTTGATTTTTTTTGTTTCTTCATATTCTTAAAAATATATATGTTGGTTTTGGTTAGATTGCTTCTTAAGTTTTTTTGATTAAAAAAATTCGGAAAAATTAAAAATAATTTTAGAGATAATTTTATTACTCGTTTGTTTTTTCGGTCATGAATAATTTTTAATTAGTTTGAAATGACATCATTTTATTTCTTCAAAATCGTGTAACAATTCCCTCATTCTTTTGTTACTATTTGAGAAAAAAAATAGGGCAATTTTCACAATGAAACTTCTCGCAGTGTCTTCACTTTTCTGGACCTTTCCTTCACCACCTAGCTTAAATTTTTTTTCTCACTTCGCCATTTTCCTTTTCTTCAAGCCACATCCCTTTTTCTTTTTTCTTTTTTTTTTATATTTTTATTTTTATTTTATCACTGCTCCTTATAAAGCTCAGCATTCAAATTACTAGATACTCCCTGCATTTTGAAATATATGTAGTTTTAAGATTTGGTGATTTTTTTTAAATATATGTCATTTTTACAAATCGAGGGATATTTGACCACTTTTTACCAATATTACTCTTGTATTGGAAATTAAACAATTTTTATAATGAATTTCAATTATTCGTGATGAATTATGTAGATAATAAATAAGGGTATTTTTGTATTTTAACTACATTAATTAATATTTTCTTGGTTTTGATAATTTCTCTAAAAAGACATATAAAAAAATAGAGGGAGTATACATTAACAAAAAACAAAAAAAAAAAAAGAAAAAATTACTATATATACGAGACGAGAGTCTGACTAATTTTCCCTCTCATACTCCTCGCCACAGGTCATATTAACATTCTCAATAATTTTGTTCTCTGCAATTTTTGTAGTGGATTGTTTCGCCTCTACAATTCCAGTTCAATTCAACAACTAAATTGAAATAACAGATTTTGCCTTTATTATTTCTGGAATCAGCTATGGAACCGGCAGCAACTACTAGTGGTGGAGGAGCAGGGTCTTTCCCCCTGCCGCCGCAGCCGCCGCTGCAAATAATTGACGTAAGGTCAGTAGTGGAAGCCGTCTCCGGCGGAGATGATCAAAACGACGCTCCACTCTACGAGGTTGAAAGCCTCTGCATGCGCTGCGGCGAGAATGTTAGTAGCCTTCTCTCTCCCTTTTTTATTTTTGATTTTTTTTACTTTACTGTTTGCGTTTTGAATATTATTAATTGATAATGTGTTGGTAAAATTGGTGGCGAAAATTTGGAACTCTTAAAGTTGCAAAGATTCGTATGTATCTGATTTTGATGGACATCTTCAGCTGGATTAGGTTATTATTAGTTGCTAAAAGTTTTTTGACATGCTTGTTCTCATGTACTGTATTTCTGTGTGCTCAGTTTATTTGTTTGCCTTTAATGTGTTTATGATGAAGATTTTGAAATGTATCTTCTTGGTCTTTTCTTCCGCGTAGTCAGATTCGTCCAAGTTACTTGGGAACTTAGTTAATGAAGTTCTTATGATTTAGAACGGAATAAGTGTGATTTCCACGATGGAAATTACCCCACGGGAATCATATGGAACTTATAAAAAAAGTATTTCTTTTTCCATCCCATATTGTTTAATCATGTGGTGCAGTGTGATATTGAAGTTATAGTCTGGTTGATTATGAGTTTTAAGGTATTACAAGTTTAGTTTATATTTTCTTTAGTTACTTTGAATTATGACCACACACAACCATGTCGGAAAGAAACAGTATGATTATGACTTCTATTGCTGGCTACGAAATGTTTACGAACTGAAGTTCTCTCTGTCTTAGGCCCAAAGAACTGTATTCATACTGAATGAGATGGATTTGATTTGATCTCGATTCACTTATATGCAGTCTAATGACTTGATATGTGATATTTCTAACCTTACTGAAGTATTAGTGGTAAATGGTTGTGACTATGCAAAAAGTGCATTTTCAGTCTTTGAGATGTTCAATATCATATTGACGATTAATGTCTAATATGTTTTATGGAGGTTCAGCATTTTGAGTTCCATTTTGAAGTTATTAACTGGCTAAAATACGATTTCTTTTCTCTTCTCTCTCTCTCTATCTCTCTCTGTATGGCTTTTTTTTTGTTTGATTGAAAATGCTGATTTATGCCTATTCCTCTTCATGCCCTTCAATTGTCAGGAAGCATGTTCATGTTTTTTGCTTTTCTTCGCATGTGATCTTGCTTGAACCTAGATTTTGAAAGGGAGATTTATTATCTACATAATAAATATAAGATATTTCTCCATGCCTTATATGTGATCTAATTGGGATGTGATGTTGCTAATGTTTGAAGTATTAGCAGTAACTAGCTGATTATGCAAAAGATGCATTTTCAGTCTTTGAGATGGTCATGATGCTGAATAATGAATGTTCAATCTGTTTTAATGAGGTATTGTCTTCCATTTTGGAGGACTAAAGTTGTTAGACTTCCATTATATATATATTGAAATAAGTTTTTGTAAATGCTGATTTTATGCCTATGCCGTTTAATTGACTGAAAGAGATGTTCAAGTTTTTTCTTTTCTCCGTTTAATTGACTGAAAGAGATGTTCAAGTTTTTTCTTTTCTCCGTATATGATCCGGCTGTAAACTCAATTCGATGCTTTTCCCCTGTTCCTTGACTTTGAAAGGAAGATTTATTATGTACATGAGATACTTCCAGAACTAAAATGATATGACCTACATGTTACACCCCATACAAATACAACCCGCCCTCCCCCGGACACTTCTATTGCTATTTGTTACCGTGGTTAAAGTTGAGAGATTGTATAGCAGGTTACTTTGTTCTGACAGAGAGAAACTTCAAGTCTTGGCTCACTTTTGTTGGGGATATTAATCTATATTCGTTATATTCCCCCCTGCTACACTTGTGAAATGTATTGATTAACATGTTATTTCCTGCACTGTTGTGTAGCCACAATGTATTTCGCGAGTGCATAAAAGTGTTTAGATTAATTTGTTTTAGGAGATTCTGCTGCTTATTTGAGCGTATTTGATTTGGAGACTATGGGAAAAGAAGTAACATTTGCTTCTATTTTTTTTTTTTTTTGACATTTGTCTTTTCCTATTGCAGGGGGTAACAAGATTGTTGCTGACTGTGATTCCACATTTTAGACAGGTATTTACTTTCTTCTTTTGCATTTCCAATTGATATTGAAATGTAAAATGCTTATTTGTTAGAGCAAGCTAGAACAAACTGATCACTATTTGGTTTATTGTCTCCCTTCTCTAAAATTTTCAATAGTTTGTAATGAGTATCCATTTTGCTTGTTTTGCTGTATTACCAATAATTTCTCTTTGCTTGTAGATATTATTGGCAGCTTTTGAGTGTCCACATTGTCACGAGAGGTAATTAGTTTCCTTTGTTCCCCTTCCTCTATTATAGAGGTTTGAGTTAACAAGAGTAGTTTTGTAAAGGGTGATTTTTTATTTTTTTTTTAATTTTTTTCCCCCAGGAACAATGAAGTGCAGTTTGCTGGTGAACTCCAGCCTCGAGGGTGTAACTATTGTTTAAAAGTTGCAGCAGGTGATCGCAAGGTCAGGAATATTCAATTACGTTGCTAGTTATTATTCTGGTTTTGCTATGAATACACTTGTCCTTTTGCCCGATGATAACATAAACATGATAGATAATTGTTTTTTCAGTTAGTGGGAAATTGATAAACTTGCTAATGAGATGCTTTGGTAATTGTCTTTTGTACCTAGGATTGATAGCTTTTCAGAAACAAATCTAAGTTTTGTGCTGGGTTTGAAATGTGCTAAATAATGTGTAAGAATAAGCTGAAAATTCTGAATTAAGGTGTTTAACTCGGTCCATTTAAGTGCACGAATCTTCATGTTTCTTGACTTGTCAATCATCTACCTTAGTTGGAGGCTATTCTGGTTTTCTCTTTGCAAACATGATATTATCTACCAAAGTAGCTATTCTCATCTTTTTTCATTATTGATGTTCAGGATAATATGGTTCAGCCATGACTTCAATACATATAATGTCAATAGCATACACTTTTTCGTCTTTCTTTAAGAAAATAATATGAGTCAAGTTTTTTATTGTGATTGGGTCAGTACTTTTTGCTGAATTATTCAGTTTGCATTTATTTATTCTTTTTCATCCCTTAATTTCTTACTTACACCTATGTATGCTTGGTAATATGCCCTATCTTTTAACTATTTTTTAATTCATGTCGAGAGTGAAGCTAATACACTTTCAGCTAATTATCAACCATTTAAATTTGTGTCTGAACTGCAACTTCAATGATGATCATTTCATTGTCTTGCAGATTCTCAACCGTCAAGTAGTCAAATCTGAAACAGCAACTATTAAGGTATTTGTTTGCAGTTTCTCACTTTAGTTTCTGGTGTCGTTTGTACCTAAACCGATTTAGTAGATTTTTCCCGCATTTTGTTAGATAGCTCATCATTACTGTTTATAAGAACCTAAGAGAACTCCTTTTGTTTAGAGATTCCTTCTCTTTCTTACACTCTCACTCGTCTTCCTGTTTTTTCTTGTGTTTATTTATGCAGATTCCAGATCTTGATTTTGAGATTCCTCCCGAAGCTCAACGTGGTTCTTTGTCCACGGTATATTTATTCTCATTATCAGTTGACGATTCTTTCCCTTTGTATGAAGAATCTACGATTTATTTATTTTTTTTAATTTTTTTTGTTGGGGGGGGCAACGGTGGATTATTCTGAGCGCTTGTCCTATTCAAAGAATAGTTTCTCTCCTCTCTCTCACTCTCTGTGTTGATGAGTTGATTAGATTTTTAATATTCAATTCAAAATCCTGTATGGTTCATGTCCAGGTTGAAGGGATATTAACACGTGCTGCTGATGAACTTGGTGCTCTTCAAGAAGAAAGAAAGGTGCGTGTCATATTTTGTTCAGATTGTTATGTCAGAAGTCACATTTCTTTTACTGCGCTCAGTTCTCTATTTTTTGCTTGAATGGTACCAGAAAGTAGATCCTCAAACAGCTGATGCAATTGATCAATTCTTGATAAAGTTGAGATCTTGTGCATCCGGAGATTCGTCCTTCACTTTTGTCCTTGATGATCCCTCGGGTAACAGCTTTATCGAGAATCCGTAAGATGTTCTGTTCTTTAGTAAAATTTAATTTAATTCCATGAACTTAATAATATTTATTTTGTTAGCCCCAGTTTCTGACTTGATAATTGTATTCTATAGGTTTGCCCCTTCTCCTGATCCATCACTGTCTATTAAGTTCTATGAAAGAACTCCCGAGCAGCAAGCATCTTTAGGCTATCTTGCGGATCCAGCACAAGGAGGAGGAGCTGCAGATGTCGCACCGTTGGATACAAATAATGGTCCAGAGCAAGGTTCAAGTGAGCCACATGGATCTGTTGGCGCTAGAGCTGGTCGTAGGGCCATAGCTCAAGTAAACAGTGCAGAAGTGGCAGAAACTTTGTTCAAGTATTCTGCCCCTGAAGAGGTACATTAACTTTTACACAGCTTATCAGATTTCGAAACATGAGGACTTGGTTCTTAATTCTATTTTGGTGCAATGTCTGGTTTTGTAAGTAGGTGATGACTTTTCCCACTACCTGTGGAGCTTGTGGTGCCAAGTGCGAGTGTCGGATGTTTGTTACTAGTATCCTTTCGTCCGTATATTCCTCTTGACAGGTATCCAGGCTGACAGATTTCTCGTGGTTACTGAGAAAACTTGTGACAAATAGAAAAAGAAATAATTAATAAGACTAATTGCATCTGAATACCAATTTCTAATTATAAAAAATCCCATAGTGGAGCCACATGGATTGATTTCAGGATGTCAGTAAAATTCCCTGCCGGTACATTGTACAGTTCTGTGAATGAAATGAAGTCCATTTTATTCGTCTATACTCTGTGGTTTTCTTTAGTTATTTATCTTTGTGGTTTATTTTCTTGGTTGTGACTATATATATATTTGAATTTTTCTTCAACTAACCTCAAAATTCCAAGTTTTAATTGTTTGGAGTTAAATGATTTTCTGGAACGAAAAAAAAGCGTGTTTTAACCTGAACGAGGTTATTATACTTCTTTTATAGAAGTTGAAGAGTATTCTCTCAGAAATGCCTTCTTGTAACAGAGGATTAACTGCGTTGAAAATTTTTTAATAGGCTGTGTAATTTGTTAGCTGCCAAATTTCGTTTTCATTGTTATTATCCGACCAAACCAAAGGTGACAAACTTGAGAAACAAATGGTAACGTTCCAGTTTGAATGTTTTTGTAAGACCATCACGGGGCTCATTAACTTATTATTTCACAAGCAATAGGTCAGCTGGTTGAAGAAAATTTGAAGGATTTGAATTTTGTTTTCCTATGTGAAGATGGATATTTTACACAACCGTGCGTTAAAATATTCCATTGGAAAGGTCTATGATGATAGTTTAGGAGTAACTGCTTGGAGCTTAAACTTGATTTCCTTTTAGTGGCATAAATTCTGGTTCTTATATCAACACTTCTTGGTATACTCGTTTTAGGCTGTGACATTTTCAGTCTGTTGATCTTAACTATGCATAGATATTCCATACTTCCGAGAAGTAATAGTCATGGCATCCACTTGTGATTCTTGTGGTTACCGCAACTCGGAGGTTCGTTTTTGCTGTATATATTTCGCATAATGTCAAAATTTAACACTCTGGGTCCTAAATTTTACTCTCCTTGCTGCTGGTATGTGTCTCCCTTCCCGTGAAGCTGAAAGCTGGAGGAAGTATTTCTCCTAAAGGAAAGAAAATTATTATTCATGTGGAGAATCTGAGGGATCTCAGTCGAGATGTCATAAAGGTAAATTGTGCAGAGCTATTGTATGATTTATTTTTATTTGTATTTTTTTTTTTCAGGTTCACAAATTTTCACCTTGCATGGGTTTAAGGATTGCATTTAGCATATATTATAAGAACTAAGCTTCCTTTTTCCTGTCTTTTCCCCAATGGTTTTCACAGACCGTCAGAATAAATGATTCAAGTTAGTGGCTTGCGGGGTTTGCTTTTTTTTTTTTTTTTCGGGGGTTACAACTGGGATTTTCTTCTGTTTGCATCTTTCTCTACATTCCAACCTAAAGTATTACATTACATTGTATCTGATACTGATGGATTTAAAGGAGTATTCGGCTTAGGTCTTTGGATATTGTAACTTCCATTGAGCCTCTACCTTTTAAAGTGTTCTTATTTTTTTTAAACAGATAATGTGCCATAATATAAAGGTGCTGAAAGAAATATCTTTTTAAAAATCAGTCAGATACTGCTGGTGTGACCATTCCAGAGCTTGAGTTGGAGCTGGCTAGCGGGACCTTGGGTGGTTTTGTAACTACTATTGAAGGTTTAATTACAAAGATTAGTGAAAGTAAGTTTTAAATCTTTATTGCAGTGCACTTGTAACTACATAAGGATGCGGCTTAAAACCAAATCTGTGATTATTTTTTTAGATCCACACTTATTTATTTTTCCTCACTGCTGAGGTTTGACCACGATATCTGTAGCTTTATATTTATTAGCTGTGATTACTTTTCTGTGACTACTTTTCTAGTTCACCCTTCTTTGTGTTCACATCCCAGAAGGATATTAGCTGTATCGAAATCACTAATTTGTTGAGTTTAAGTCTCTCCTTTCTGGGAAAGCCTAGGAGTTATGTTTCCTTCCTTAGTGCTCCCCCTTTTAACCAATGAGAATGATGGCTTTGGTTGTATCAAGTCTGAAACCAAGTGGAATTATTTTTCGTCCCATATTCCTCCACTACTATTGTTGCCTTCAGTTTTTTTGTTTTTATTTTTTATGTAGTTATGTTTTTAATGAATGTCTCTATATCTTTGTCATCTAAACTTTAAAGATATCTTTCATTACAATAGTTAGATGACAGATAGGTCTTTTTACGGATGAACTACGCCCCTGAAGCCCGGATTTGAATTTCTTTCTGGTAGTCCCCTCGTGTACTTAGGATTTACCAATGAGTAAATTTGCTTCATTCGACCCCTAAGTAGCATTCGCTGCTGTATAAGATGTTCAATTTTCCAAATTTGAGGGGGTTCCATCTCTTGATTTATATTTTCAGTAATTATTTTTCTGGAATGCGAAGAAAGTTTTCTTCCATGCAGTTAATAATGCTCTGGTTTCTTCACTTCTTACGTTGCATTGTGGTATTTTCATGTTTTAACTTGCTCGCCGTTGTTTCTGTTGCTCAGCACACGATATTGACTTGGGTGGTTCCAAATTGCTGTTGTCCTTTATTCTGCTTGTCCTCTCCCTTCTAATAAAGCTGGACCTGCTGAATCCCAGATAACAGGTCCAACAAAATGATCCGAATTATCCTTAAGAATATTCTTTTCAGCTGAACTTTTCTAGAGATTGCTGTTGTGCACTTTAGTAACACCTGGCTGATATTTAAAGTGCTGAACACGGCTGAGCATTGCTGCACTTACGCCTTTGCAGCCATTTTATGAAAAAGATGGCCCATTTTGGGCGCTGGTGTACTCTTACCAAACATTTCCGGCACTTCACAATCAACCCTTCTCTGCGCTTTATTTCCCTGTGATTGCTATGTATCCTTATGCCATTCATGTGCAATTTCAAACCAGTTGTCTCCAATGCCTTTACAAAGGTGCTGATAATAAAGAACAGATGCAAGAGTTTTTCTGTAAAACTTTGGGGAGATCAGGGATGTCTATTCTTGTTCTCCTTTACAGTAGTGCCTTGTAGAGTCCCTGTATTTAGTCCCTCCTTTTTCAAAATTTCCTTTCTTTGTGGTTGAAAGCTTATTCCATTTTTAAGTTGCATTTTATGGTTTAATGAATTTTTGGCTTTGTAATTGTAGTACTGAATGGTAGTAAACAGCTGACTAATTTTTTAACTACCTGATCTGCAGGCCTTGAGAGAGTGCATGGGTTTGGAGATAGTCTTGATGACTCCCAAAGAAACAAATGGCTAGAGTTGAGGACAAGGCTCAAACAGGTGACATGCACATGCTAAACATAGTAGAGTAATTATAGAGAAAGTGAACAGTCAGTGTGACTTCAGTGTAACGAGTGATTTGTGAATTACTCATTGGTTAAGTAACATCACATAGACCACCCCCAATGAGAGATCAACACATCAGTCACTATAATTTTCCACTACTTTTATCATTTTCCTTATCATTGTCCTTGTCCCAGCAAAAATGTCTCTCTATATACTTCTTATCTTTTCACTTGTTGCAGCCCCTTGCCTTCTTGTTTGCAGCATTTTTTCCAATATACGAGCAGCCTATGACCAGGGTGGAGCTACCCTGATTGACTCGAACTAAGCTGCTTTACAAGATCCATGTATCCTCCAGGTTTTAACTACGTGCTGCATATAGTTATATAGATCTAGCTGGAATATGAACTAACTTAAATTGTCCAAAGATCTAGCCTCTCTTCTTAGTAGGTGATGGTCATTATGAGGTGCTATAGTTGACCCATAAGCATATGTTGTCTAGTTGTAGCTAAGTTTTGTTTCTCAATGCTTTACTGTCTGGCACTTTTTCCTTCGAAAAAATGATATATACTATTTGCACTCGACGCTTGCACAATGTAGTTTTCCCTATATCATAATATTTGCCGTCTTTGTGAACTTCTCCCTATAGCTTTCCTCTATTTTCTGATGCAATATGTTCTATGTAGCTTTTGAGCCTGGAAAAGCCTTGGACATTGATTATTGACGATGCTTTGGCTAACTCCTTCGTGGCACCTGCAACTGATGATATCAAGGATGATCATCAACTGTCTTGTAAGTATTTCTTGACTCCCACAACTGGATGGGGTTAAATCCATAAATAAAAAATTATTTTCTAGTTCAGCCATATGGTATACTGTCTCACTATTAGTCTTGTCTTGTGTTCTATGGAATTTGGGAATTTGGCCCTTTTCCTTTCTCCTACAAATAAACTGAAAGTGGTTTTGGACTAGTTTTTTGCTTTTAAATATGTCTTCGTCAAGCAGTTGTATGGTGGTTATGCTGATGATGCTCTGCTCTCCATCTGTACAATATTTGTGCTTCCGAATTAAGGAAGACCAGCTTTTTACTTGGATGTCAAAGATTGTTATGGCCATAGTTACTTGTGCATATTTTCTTTTCAACTAATCACCTAAACTCGGCATATCTTCTTTCTTTGATTTTCTAGATGTGGAATACGAAAGGGCATGGGAACAAAATGAGGAGTTTGGCCTCAATGATCTGGACACGTCTTCAGCTGATGTAGCTTATGATAAAGTGAATGAAGGGGCATCTTAATGCTGATCGTCTTTTTGTCCTCCTTAATGCTGATCGTCACTTTGCCCAAAACCCATGTACTCCTCATAATTTAGCATAATTTATCCATATTTGTAGACAAATTTTGGAAAAATGTTATCACAATCATATGGTCAGTTGAATCTTATCAACATCGTTGAATTGATTCCAACACTACGTATCTTTCTTGTTTTATTCTTATTAATTATTGTGTAATTTAGAAAGGTTGAATTAATTTTTGTCATCTCATGATCATTCGATAAATTTCTTTTTTTTTTTTGGTGCAAAGAAGGAGGCACAAGCCCTAGTTTTCAAACTATTCGCGGGTATGAGACTCCCACTACATCATGCAAAAGCCAAGGTTTTTGTATGCCAAGGTTTTTGCATGATCATTCCATAAATTTCAGTTTCATGAAAACCATTTCTAATAATAACATTCTAAAAAACTGCACAGGTTAAGGATCAATCATCAATGAGTAAATGTCTTCTATCCTTAAAAATATGCCCTCATACTATTTTGTTCCCGCACACATTTCTTTGAAAATGCGAGGTGACAATTTAGAATGAATTTTTTTTTTTTCTCTAGGAGATTTATTTTAACAGAGGGAGTACTAATTTTAACGATTTAGTTTGTCAGACCCAATGCAACTGAGAGCAAACTTCACTTCCCAAGTTTGCATAAAACAAAATTAACAAAGGACTATAAAGATTCAAAATTGCTTATTTCAAACAACATGTCTTAGTGTTCAACTAATCTAACAAAAGCAGCAATCAATCTACCAGTTACGAAATACAACTTTTTGTCAATATTTGCACATAGAAAGGGAAACCTAAGGAACTGCGAGTCTGCTTGGATACAAAAGGAGAAATGCACACTATTTCCACTGAAACTCTTCAGTTGCCCTAGACATTTTACAAATGTTTAAGACTCCGTTATGATTGTGATAGCATTTTTTATGTAATTTTGATATACATAAATTATGCAATTTCATGTCACGCAACAGTTACTCAAACACTTCACTTCATAAAGATCATCTTATCTTCTTCTACTCGAAGAAAAAAAAACATTTTCTTCATAATTTGATAACTACAATTTTATTGAAGACATTTTTTTGTTTGACTAGTAAGAAAAAAATATAATATTCACTTAAATAGTATTTTTCTTTTTTAACGAATACTAAAGAATATTTAAATGTTCACTTCATAAATAAATATTTTTGGAGAACTTGCATATTTTTTTGGTTAAAGTATCAAAATGGATATGATGACAAGAATAAGACAACGACTTGCAGTTTAGTGGTAAGACGCCTCACTTTTGACCATTGACCAATAGGTCATGGATTCGAGTCACACCAGGGGTAAGGTGGGAACCACTATTAATCCTCTTTAAGAAAAAAAAATGATGATAAGAATAATTCTATCCTGAAAATTACTATTATTAATTAAACTGAATCATTTTTTGCAGTTATAAAAATTACTCATTTACAGTCGTTAGGACAATTTTGCCCCTCTACAAGAATAATAACAATAACACAAAGATATAAATTACACTAAATCAAATCTCATTTATATAAACAACAATTACTAATATTACTCATTTAAATTTAATTAAATTTAAAGACAAAGATGAATACTACTCATTTAAAAAAAAAAACTAATTATTGAAAAATATAAAAAATAACTAAAATGAATATAACACAAAAAAAAATTCAAAAAAAATTCTGGTCTAATGGAGGACCAGCCGGCCCGAAACCGGCTACCCAAAGAGAGGTAGCTGATCCGAAACCAGCTATTTGTAGCCGGTTCTGGACCGGCTACCTCTCCTTGGGTAGCCATTTTCGGGCCGGCTACCTCTCCTTGGGTAGCCGGTTTCGGACCGGCTGGTCCTCCATGTGTCACAGTCGTGACATTTCTAGAAATATTTAGAAAGTTCTAGAGTATTATAGATTATTTTAGGCATGTGTAGAATATCGTGGAAATATGTAGAATATTTTAGAATGGTGTAGAACTCTTTAGAACCTTCTAGAATCTTGTAGAATATAGGATAATGTGGAATTAACTAGAAGATTCTAGGTAATGCTAGGGTAATGTTCAAAAATAGTCCAAAAGTTTGGAGGTAATTCTTGTAGAGGAGCTGAAAGAAACTTCTAGGATCTTAAGGGTTTGCCTATAAATATAGCAAGACCTATCATTTGTACAAGTGTAGAATTGAAAAGGTTCTAAATAAGTTGAGAGGTTTCCTTTGAGTTAGGTCAAGAACTTTTCTTTTTTCCTAAATCTCTCCTTCCAATACTTGCAATTTTGGTTTAGATAGGCTGAGCTAGCATCACTTTGTCCGTTTGAGTGAGCTAGTGCCGCACGGATCGCTATTAAAAAGAGCAGCCCGTGACATATGGATAGCCGGTTTTTGGCCGACTACCCCAAACGATAATTTTTTTTAATTTTTTTGTGTTATGCTCATTTTAGTTATTTATTATATTTTTCAATAATTAGTTTTTTTAAATGAGTAGGATTAATCTTTGTTATTTATATTTTTTAAATTTAATTAAATTTAAATGAGTAGTATTAATAATTTTGGTTTATGAAAATAAATTTAACTAAGTGTTAATTATATCTTTGTATTATTGTTATTATTCTTGTTATATTCATTTTGATTATTGGTTATATTTTTCAATAATTAGTTTGTTTAAATGAGTAGGATCAATAATTATATTTTTTAAGATAGGAGAAGAATAGGAGAAAGAGGAGGAAGAAATGATAAAATAGAAGGAAGAGGAACAAAATTGTACTAACGACTGTAAATGAGTAATTTTTATAATTGTAATTAGTATATGCTTTGACGGTCAATTTTCAAGTCAGCCAGTTAAACTGGAATCAGTTCGGCGGGTGTCAGTTTAGCGGGTCGACTAATATTTCTTTGACCGTCTCGCAATTTCCTTTCCCTCCCGGCAATCTACTATTTTGATTTACTTTGTGTTTTGAAAAAAGTGAGTCCCCCAATTGAATTCAACTTTGTTCCTCAATCCTCAATTTCCTTTGGAACCCATAATTTTCTCAAGAACAACAGGCGCATTTCGGTTGGCGGTGGAAATTGAAGTCGACAAGCTCGGGGGCATCTTGTAACTGTAAGTCATCGCAATTTGCTTTCCCTTATTTGATTTTCTCCTCCTACCTACTGAATCTAGGCTTTAGGTTCCTATTTGTGTGAAATTTGGATGTTTCAGTTGTATGTAAGGTGTTTGAAACCATGGTTCCGGCAGATTTTCTTTTGGTTCTTTGCTTGTGAATTTTAGAAGCGGAAAGTTTTAGTGTGGGAGATGTGTGTTGCAGATGTGTTAGTTTTAAAATATGGCCTGTAAGTTACATATGTTTTGTTTTCTTTATATGAATCTCTTCTATGTTTAATCTACTTTAATGTGGTTTTTACGGATTGGTAAACGGACTCCTGGTTTGTCAGGAAATTGAATTTGAATATGACATGTCCATTGCTGGAAGTGCAGAAAACCAGATTCGTGTCTTCCTCTTAACAGGCCTATTTCTCTTAGGTTGTGAACTCTTTTTCAGAATTTCTTTTTGGAAAACTCTTCTTCATTCAGTATAGTTTAATGTAGTTTATTAGGTTTTTAAAATGGAGTTACGGATTGTGCAAAAACTGAGTTTGAACAGGATGTCCGCCGCTGAAAATTTAGATCTTTCTGCTGGAAAATCTGGTTTAAGCTTCTGTTTTGGAGGCTCGTTTCTTCTGATTTCTGAACCTTCTTCTCTGAATTCTTTTTATGAAATCCCTCTCTGTTTATTGTACTTTAATGTTGTTTTAATGGTTTGCTAAAACAAATAGTGAGTTGTGCAATAATATCCTTCGAATATGGTCACTTAGTCAACTAGTTTCTGAAAATTCAGAACTGGGGGTTTGAAAGGCTAATATTGAAGTCTCTGTTTCCTTTGACTCTGAACCCTTTTCTAATGCAACTTCCATGCTTTATTTTCTATCCATGGCGTATTTTATAGGCTGCAAAATTAAACACTTGGGTACTTGAAATTCTACTTGGCAGTCATTTGTAGAGGTTAGTAGGCAGTCATGGTAGCAGCCGGGTTGAGCTTGAAGGCAGAGAACGAAATCTGCTATGAGTGTAGTTTAAGTCTACACCTTGCTAATTATGATATGGTGTATAGATTGTTACAGTTCCTCTTTTACAACGAGATTAATGTTTTTATATATTTTATAGACATTTTCACTAAAGTAGATTAGATGATAACAATGTAACTATTATTTTCATCTCAGATAATAGCAATGTATTAAAATAGTTTCTGTTCCACGACGCCTTGAGCGAGTGATCGCTCGGCGGGTGGCCCAAATGTTATTAAGCTCGTCTAAATCGGGTGCCGAAATTTGGGGCTGTCACACTAACAAGATTGAATCTTGAACGAGAGGGGTGCAATTATTTACTAGAGACTTTGAAACTCTTTTGGCTTGCATTGCAATGAGATTGAATGAAACCATTGGCTAGAATCTGAAAAGATTAGACTTCAGTTAATTCATGTTAGCAGTGCCAATTAACAAAGAAATGTTACCTTTGTTTACGCTGCTCTAAAAGTATTTATATAAGTTATGCATTAAGGTGCTGTTTATAATCATTAATAGATAAGTCTTTGTTCTGGTGTTACGCTAGTAAGTGAAGTACTGTTCGATAGTCACGTCTACTCTCTTTTCTCGCTCTAACTTTATTTTAAGTTGTTGATGACGTGCAACACGCCCTTGCATGGTTGTCAAGTTAGCAAGTTTTCAGAATGAATTCTAATGTTGTAGATTTCTTGTTATATGCTGTGAAGTAACTTTAATATTCATGAATTTAGAGACCGTACTTGTGACAGGAAATGGAAATGAAGAAATGCAATGTTTACTTTCCAGGAATTTTTATTGATTTGGTTTGGAGAACATATATGTGTTGCAGGCTTTTGATGATGGTGATATTAAATAATTTCAGTTCAAATTGGTCTGATTCTCTTTCATTGGCAGGTTACTATGACCAGAATGCACAACACATGAACCCCGGGTTTATACCAAAGGTGCGGTGCACCTCAGATCCAGTCAAACAGAAGAAAGCAGAAATCTCTCGAAGAAGCTGAAACATCCCCATTAGAATGTAAGTATCCTAGAACTTGGCATCCCTTTCCTGCTTGGGATGGTCAACTGGCCAGATATAAGTTTGGGAAAATTTGCTGTGATTGAATTTGTTCTTCCATATTAGATAATGTACAGTTGATTCAAACTTGTGCCTTTTGTTAGTATGTTTGTGTTGATGGCAGCTAGATTGTTCTTTTTTGTTTTTTTGCTTTGTTTTGGTGTTAAAAATTGAATGTTGGTTGGATGTGGTTTTTGCATGATTGTTCGTAGTGTGCACATTGGTAAAGTTTATATCTGTAAAACTTTGTTTTGGAATATATGTTGAGTTCTGTCTCTAGGGAAGAGAATTTTCTTTTCTTTTTTTTGTTTAGATAATTGGTGAATTTCGAAGCAAAAAAACAACGAACCTAGGAGCACCAAGTTTGTTCAGCTACTCAAATTAGCTGAGTTTACATCAAAGCTTCTAAATTAAGTATAAAGAAACCTATACAGAAGCTGCTCTAAAATTTGAGTCTGACAAAACTATACAAACAGAAGTTTAGCAGAAACCAACTAAAACAAAACCAACACTATAATAACCTTACACCAGAATTTTTAGCGTTTGAAGATAATGCTGCTCAGCTGGATTCAGTTTCATGGTTGATGCCCTAATGCTCCACCTGATCTCCTGCTGCATACTATGAACTTTGTTTAGAAATGTAACTGAATGATGGTAATTTTGAAGGATTCCATTGAAAGAGAATCTGACAATATTTTTGCCCTAGTAGGACTTAGTTAAAGGAGGAGGCAAGGCATCAACATTTAACATGGGGTTAGAGGCAGAGGCAGAAGTAAATTTTTCTGGTGGATGTGATGCAAATGGTGAGCTGTTCCGCGCGGACGAACATCCCTTGGAATTACGGCAATCATCAGAAGTTGCATGTAGTGACATCGAAGCCACAACCAGGACCGCAGGCAATACTACTACTGGCAATCAGAAACGTAATCATGATGAAGATGGGGAGGATGATGCAATGGAGGCAGATGAAGAAGAAGAGGATGGGGAGGGCGAAGAGGAAGGGGATGGGGAAGATGACGATTTTGAAAATGGAGGAGGATATAGATTCAGGTTCTCGGGGGACATGGATCCCCTTTCTTTTACAGAACAAGACTCTTCCGGACTTCGGCCCTATGAGCAATTCGAGCGTCTTGAGCATCAGTACCAGGAGCAGCACCAGGATGATCATACCCTTGGAATGTTATCAGTACCTGATCCACCTCCATCCCACCACATGCTCCAGGCCGAGGCTCTGGCTCGAGCCCAAGCCCGCTGCAGGTAGTAAATTTTGCTTTCTCTTTGCTATGCATTAATATAATCTGTTGCATTACAGTTAGAAAGCTGTGAAAGTAAATTGCTTTGTTCATATTCTTCAGAGAAATATCGGCTAAAAAGCCTAGGCTAGATGATGTTTCTGGTGCTACGATGGAGGAAATTATGGAAGTCATGAATTTGGGCACAAGGAGAAGATCAAAAAAGGTTTGATTACAATGCAACCCATTAATCATATAGTGACAATGATGTCATCCTCTGATTTCGGGTGCACTATTTTTTGGGCAAGCTTGTGCATGACATTTGCTCTATGCCCTATGCAGCATAAGAAAAGGGGTAGACGGAAGGGGGCTGGCAATAAAAGTAATCCAGAAGTGACTCGGAAGCTTGGGGATGCTACTCTTCATTATGCCCTTGGCCGTTATGAAGAGGTATGGTGCTATTCTTGATATCCAGATTAGACTTTGCATCTTACTGGTTTTTTACTTGGCTTTATTTGTAGAAGTTATCCATTTTGTTTAGCTTCTTTGTTTCAGACACTGTCCTTATTTGTCTGATTTTTCGAGTTGTAGGCAATAGGTGTGTTGTATGAAGTTATTCGTGTTTCGCCGAATCTTCCTGATCCATATCATAGGCTTGGACTTATCTATAGTGAGATGGGTGATAAAAAAAGAGCTATGGACTTTTACATGATTGCTGCACATTTGACACCAAAGGATGCATCTCTCTGGAAGCTTCTTGTGTCGTGGTCAATGGAACAAGGTGATAGGGGACAAGCCAAGTACTGCCTTTCTAAAGCATTAACTGCTGATCCAGAGGATATAAACCTTCAGTTTCACCGAGCATCCCTCTATGTGGAGTTGGGTGATTATTTGAGGGCTGCTGACTCGTATGAGCAAATTTCTCGACTCTGTCCAGACAATGTGGAAGCAGTCAAAACAGCGGCTCAACTGTATAAGAAATGTGGTCAACGAGAGCGTGCCGTTAATATGCTGGAAAACTTCTTAAGTACTTGTCCCGGTGAAGCTGATCCAAATGTTATTGATCTTTTGGGTTTATTGTATATGGATGCCAAAACACATCTAAAAGCCCTGGAGCTAATCGAGAAGTTTGGTTATTCCAAGAACAAGATGCCATTATATCTAGCTACTAAAGCTGGAATCTGTAGTATTTACCTTGGAAATATGGAGAAAGCTAATGCTTTCTTCAGTCTACTGCTATCTGACAACATCTATGAGCAGCGTCATTTGATCTTTGAGGTTGGAGATGCATTATTGAATCACGAGCATTATGAATGTGCCTTGGAGTACTATCTGAGATTGGTAGGAGTTACTGGTAAGAATAATGGACACTTACATTTTAAAATTGCGGAGTGTTACCGTTATCTGAAGAATCACTCGCAATCAATTAAGTACTATTATAAAGCTTTAGATGAGCTTGAGAACAACGTTGATGCCCGATTGGCTTTGTCAACACTTCTTCTTGAAGAGAAAAAAGACGATGAAGCAATATCTGTTCTTTCTCCTCCGCCGAAAGAATCAGTGTCAGAATCGCAATCTAACTCCTCAAGGTATAATGCATCGAAACCATGGTGGCTTGATGGGAAGATAAAGTTGAAGCTTTCTCAGATTTACAAAAGTAAAGGGTTGACAGAGGCATTTGTGGATGTAATTTTTCCTGTAGTACGTGAGACAATGTTTATCGAGACTATTCAGCGGAAGTTTAGACCTAGGAAGAGGCTGCCAAAGAGTGTTCTTTCTGAACGAATTAAAGTACTTGGTGATGAGAGGACAGATTCTGTATTTCAGGGATTTAGACCTGTAGCTTTACCATCAGATCTGTTGAGAGCTTCCAGAGCAAAAAAAGTTCTCAAAAAGAAGGAAACTTTGCGGGAAGCAAAACGAGCTGCTGCTTTGGCTGCTGGAATTGAGTGGATGAGTGACGATTCAGAGGATGACCTACCTCGACAACCACCCCAGGAGCCTCCTATTCCGAACCTTCTAAAAGATGTAGAACATCAATCACTCCTTATCGATTTGTGCAAAGGATTGTCATCCTTACGAAGGTATTGGGAAGCTTTGGAGGTCATCAATCTTACCCTCAAATTGGCATCGAATTTTTTGTCTACTGAAAAGAAGGAAGAGTTTCGGGCACTTGGAGCCCTAGTAGCATATAACATTGCTGATCCTGCTCACGGGTGGGAACATGCGCGCCATATTGTTAACCAACATCCGTCTAGTTTTGCTGCATGGAACTGCTACTACAAAGTGATATCAAAGTTGGATGATAAATTCGCAAAGCATAGTAAGTTCTTGCGGTCTATGCGAACTAAGCACAAAGATTGTGTGCCTGTAATGCTTATTTTCGGTCACCAATTTACCACAATCAGCCAACATCAGACGGCGGCTAGGGAGTACTTGGAAGCTTATAAACGAATGCCTGATGTTCCATTGATCAATCTTTGCGCTGGAACTGCCTTGATAAATTTAGCCCTTGGGCACCGGCTTCAAAACAAACATCAGTGTGTTGCACAAGGATTGGCTTTCCTTTATAATAATTTGCGTCTTTGCAAAAATAGCCAAGAAGCACTGTACAACATTGCCAGGGCATACCATCACGTTGGTCTTGTAACTCTTGCTGCTGCAAACTATGAAAAAGTTCTTGCGATGCATGAAAATGATTACCCCATTCCCACTCTTCCAAACGATAACCCAGATAAAAGGATCAATCCAAAGTCAGGTTACTGTGACCTTCGTCGTGAAGCAGCGTATAATTTGCACCTGATCTACAAGAAGAGTGGAGCGATTGACCTCGCCCGGCAGGTCCTAACAGATTATTGTGTCACATAGAAGCCAAGAGAATTTGCATGTAGCTCTTTAGCACTTGGTGAGTCGAGCAAGTCCTTCTATAGAGAGAACAGAAGAAAGAACGCTGGATTTGTGCTTGAAAAATAGACATTTTGAAGATGTCATTTCTTTTCTTTTGTAAAGTTATTTTATCAACTATGTGCAGTTAAAGAGCAGATAACTAGTGGTATTCTGGAAATCTTCGTTTATGTAGGTGTTACTAATTCTAGTAGAACTTGGACTGGTCCTGGAGTTATATGAATTTGCCATTACAGGGAGTTAGTTTTTCATAGTAGCCATATAACCTGTAGGACTTGTTTGAGAACTTTCATCCAGTGGGTTTTGTGATTGTTCATACTGCTATGGCTTTTTTTGTCTTCAATCTGCTATTTTGAAGGTAAACGCTTTGTCTTTTCAGCCACCCTTTTTCAGTTATACTTGGATGTTTTTATAACTGTGTTTTGTGTGTGTGTGTGTGTGTGTGTGTGTGTGTGTGTGTGTTCTCATGGTACGCACCAATTATTCAAGTGCTACATGTTTGGTTCTATCTGCGATGAAATTTTTTCCAATACATGTTCTTTTCCTTGGTTTTGTTTAGTTTCTCCGTTAGCTACTCTTAATAATCTCCATGCCGAACTATAAAGTTTTGTTGCTGCTGTAGCCAGTATGAGTTTGGTAAGACTGATAGTACAGTTAGTTGGATGTTATGATGTTTTAGCATGTCGATTACATTTCCAGCAGAGATTGGATTGCTGTTTTTTTGTGTGGAAAGATACAGAAAGGATGGGTTCAAAACTGTAAAATTTCTCTCTGTTTGCTGGTCCTTGATCATCTGTTTGCTTAATCATAATGTTCTGTTTTTCTCTATTGCTAGTATTCCTTTGGTAAGTTTGAAAGTATAGATAGATGGATGTTATGATATTTGAGAATGTAGATCGCATTTTTCAAAGCTACAATTGCTGATAATCAGTATGAATTGGAAAAAATCCCAAAAGGATGGGTTCAAAACTGCAATGAGTCGGTCTGCTTATTCCGTGTCTCTAAGCCTGTAAGAGGTATTTGGATGATAGATCTAAAAATTGGTTGGGAGCGATGAGATGGTGGGAGGATCGATCTTTTGGGGGCAATTGTGGAGGCTTCATTTCGGATGTTTGGTGAAGAAATGAAGTGTTTGAATTCAGAGTAGGAGTTCAGTTTCTTCTCACATTTACCAGGGGAGGTAGTGCCATCAAGTCTCTTTCCTGCAACATCTAGAAAAGGTGTTGTTGACCATGATAGTTGAAGGTAAGCTTCTGGTATCCAACTGAAGTTCTTTCATGCGAAAATGGTGCTGTGATTTTGAATGTGCTATGAATGGTGAATCCATGGAATTAATTGATGAAGATAAAAATTTTACCGATGTTGAATGGATTGAAGAGGTAGGATACTCATCGCACTTCTCCTTGAAGTCTCGAAGATTATCTCTCTTCTTGGAATTTTCTCTGAATTCAATCAAGCCAAACCCTTACCCTCAGATTCATTTTGCGAAGCAATTTGATTGCTCATTGCCATATGACCATATCCATACCTGGTATCCATAACTTGTACGTGTTAAATTATTTTTGGCTAGCGATTGAATGATTAGTACCATAGTATTCGGTTGATTACGATCAATTCATTTAAAATTTACTTGTTTTGAATTTGATAGAGCAATTTGTATATTCTGATTAAGGAACTCGGGTTGGCATTATTGCTTTATCTTATTGTGGTTGGATTGATTGTATGATGCTGTGGCAGATCGATATTACTATCTGTTTCTTTCTCATTATTCTTTCGCTGTTGTTCTTCCTTCTCCTTTTGTCTTTTCAGTTTCCCCATCTTGGTTTTGGTTGATTCTATCATGTTGCCCTCCCCCTCTTCATGCAGGGAACACAGTTTAGATTGGGAAGAGGAAAACTAACCACATTTTCCCCTTTTTGGCAGTCAGTAATTCGAATATGATGTAAACTTGTGTTAGATGATTAGACATTTGATTAGACATTTGAGTTAGACAAAGGTAAACTTGTGTGGTAAATTTATATAGTGTAGAAATTGAATGAAGTTAATGTCGACTGAGGTAATATTGCCAATCTTGCAAGAAGTGGTTTCAACATTTCTAGACACAGACGAAAACTATCAGTAGTGGAACTACGCAGCTGAAGAACCATGTTGCACATGAAGTTGCATGAAAAAAGTTAATAAATGCTGCAACTTCACCAAAGATAATGATGATGATAATAAACTTGCTTGAGACTTGAGGGTATGTACTAAAGAAATAGACTTATTGCGAAACACTCACAAAACAAGCGCCTTTGATTTGATACTGTATATTATAAAATAAGATTTAGAAAAAGAGAGTAGTGTTGCAATATCTAAAATGGACGGTAGATTATCCAACATATTGTACAATATCTAGAATGGATAGAAAAATATTCAACCTATTATGAATAATCAAATGTAAAATAAAATTGTAAAATATTGGCACATGATTTTGATTGGATGTTCTATTATGTATATTTATTTACAATTTTGCCACTGTGTATTGACTAATATACATATGAGACAAATGTAGTAATGCAGCTTGAATTCAAAACTAGAATAAAAAGTACTGCCTCTATTCTAAAATAATTATCCAATTTGTATTTTTTCTTTTAATATAATTTAATTAAAACATAAATATTCAAACTAGACAATTTTTACGAGATAAAAAAAGTATTTTGCTTTCTACTTCACCGCCCCTTTCAATTAAATTGTATTAGTAACCTTATATTTTATTTTATAAGGTGTAACAGACTTCCTTAAAAGTGTCATAAGATTATTATCTAATACAATATATAAATATATTAAAGTATAAAATTTTCAATTCCTACATGTTGTTCAGCGAGGGGTTTTAGAGTTATTGTGCCACATGCCATTACTCTATTTGTCTTTAATTAAGGTGTTAAAATAAATGTAACTAGTAGGTTGAATTAAATTACATAATTTGTAACTATTCTTCAATTTCAAAATTATTTATGACATGCCATCATGTTAAGGGTGATTTTAATTAAAGCTACTGTTCACACAATCAATGAAACGTATATTAATGTGATCATGAGATTTAAGCAAAAATTGTCTGCCGATCTTATTCATATAACTATTTACAAAATTGGAACCCTAATTAAAAATTATGATTTTATTTTGATTTTCTTATATAAAAATTAGTCTATATCTCATTATTACTTGATTAGGATTAGTTTTGTTGAAATATGTAAACATATTTTATTAGTTAAGATTGGTTCTATTGAAATATCTAATATATATATATATATATATATTTGGCGGAAAAGTAAAGATATAATGAAATTGTTTGGAATGGCATATTTCAATGATAACTGTAAATTTGGATAAACATCAGACAATGATAACTGTAAATTTGGATAAATATTAAAATAAATTGGACCATGAGCTAAGCTGGACTGTATTATGTCCATTAGGGATTTTTTCCAATGTAAATTTCTACCATCACGTAAGGCAGCAACAAAAGATTCAGGTAAACCTTTTAAAGTTAAAGGTTTAAATGCAATTTGCACCAATCCAATATGCATAAACTTGTAATTTTTATTAGATCTATAATGAAATTATTTGGCGGAAAAGTAAAGATATAATGAAATTGTTTGGAATGGCATATTAAATGTAATTTAAGATGATTTTTTTGAAATTTTTATTTTTATCTATATAATTCAAAAATACCTAAAGATATGTACATTTAAGGATTCCTCCAAAAGACCCCCTCTAAAAAAATTATTTTTAACTGTCAAAAGATAGAAAATAAACTAATCAACTAAGTTAACCATTTCGATGATCATCAACTTTTATTCTTAAATATTATGTATTTTTTATAAGCTTTTTATATTATGAACTATTTTGTTGGTACAAAGGGAGAAATTTTTATAATTTATTTTCAAACTAAGCAACAGCTGGAGATAAATCTAATATCACTAATGGAGAAGTTATATAAATTAAGCATACTAGTCTTACCCCACGCGTTGCACATGTTTTGTTATTTTTAAACCAAATAATGCAAATTTAAAATGATAACATTTTAATATTTTAAATTACTCCCTCTGTCCAACAAAAATAGTCCACATTGAATTTTGAGTTTTGCACTGTTTTTAATACAAATTCAAAAATTCAATATGGACTATTTTTTTAGGACGGAGATAGTATTAAATATTGCACCAGTTATGGATAAGAAGCGGAGGCACATACAACACAGGTGGGTCAACTGCCCCCAACTATTTTTTTTTTTTGTTAGTTACCTCTTGAAGTTTTAAAACTTTTTTGTTAAAATATTACTGTTTGCCCCATCTAAATTGAAACTATTAAAGACAAGTATGTTAAATTAAGAATTTTTAAAACTTTGCACCATCATATTTATGGGGCTAGCTCCACCCTTGGATAAGCATGTTAACAGATGAAACAAACATAACATTTAATACGGTTAAGCAAACCATTTCAAAAAAAAAAAAAAAAACAAAAACAAAAATACGGTTAAGCAACAACGGAAAATAATTATAAACAACATGTTGATACGGGAAAAAAGAAATATCTTAATCATTTATGTCAGAAAATGTAAAAGAATAGTTAGAATGCTTATATGAAGAACATAGTTATCGAATCGAGATACGTGTGCGTATCGAAAATCTGATTTCGTGATATGGTATCGTATCGAATATCGTGTCGTAAGTTACATTATATATATATATATATATATTATATATACTTAAAATATACATTATAAATTATATTTATAGAAAAATTGATGAAATTATATAAAAACATTTGAAAGAACTACATACTTCAGTAATTTTGCAATAAAAATTACACTTCCATACCATCTACCTGCAAAATATCATAAAACAATAAAAATTGAAGTTTCAAAGGCACAATTTAACCATGAATAAAGTATTAAATTTAGTTTGTAATGATGAACCTCAATTAATTAAATAAGCTGAATTATAACATAACTGAAAAATTACAGTTTACTTTTGAAACTTTTACGAGATAATTTGAATATAATAAATAATTTCTAGTAGAATATGACAATATTTAATATATAGCATCATTATGTATATGGCATTTACTACAAAAGAATTATAAGCTACAATCATAACTAGGGAGATTTTCAGAGATTGTCAATTGTTTTTGAAAGTAGGGTTTAAATTTTTTACATCTAAGTATTAATACTGTCACATAAATGGTGATTAAAATATTTTTAGAATTTTTTATAATATTTTTTTTTTGGGAATAAAGGTTGTTTTCATTCCAGTTTGAGTAAAGTTAGTAGCAATACACCAGAGATTGTCAATTGTTTTTGAAAGTAGGGTTTAAATTTTTTACATCTAAGTATTAATACTGTCACATAAATGGTGATTAAAATATTTTTAGAATTTTTTATAATATTTTTTTTTTGGGAATAAAGGTTGTTTTCATTCCAGTTTGAGTAAAGTTAGTAGCAATACACTTTACAAAGATCAACCTCCTTAGAGGAAACCAAATTCCCAGTGGCGAGATACAAAATAATCAACAACAAAAGACAACATGTACATCATGATAGACCATATAAAAACTAATTCTAGACATTATTGACCAAGGTATTTTAAGAAGAGAATGTAGGGTTGATATTCATCACTTGTGCCCATAGCTTGTTCTTTCTTGTGTTCTTCATCTTCTTAATCTTAGTCAAATTCATCTTTTTTATAATGTTATTCGTAGGTTTTCTACATTTTTTCCAACATAAACAGTGAGATGATATCTTTTTTTTTTTTTAAGTGGTGAAAAAAGAGTATATGAGGGTGCAAATAATTTATTAAATTTTTCTTTCAAAAAATTATTTTAATAAAAGTTAATTTTTAATGTATTTTGTTGGATTTAAAACTACGCAATATTGACTTGACATGTTTTAGGAAGGAAAATTTTTAATTACAATGATGTATATATTTCATTTTCTCTTTAGTAGTTGTTTTAATAATAAAATATAAATTTATTTTTAACCAAAATGACGTAGTTTTATTTTGGAAAAAAAAAATTTCGCGAAAGCGCGACACTTCACCAATTTATCTCTCTCGGACTTCTGTTTTAATATGTATATTGATTATGGATTGCTCAATTTATTCCAAAATCCAATTGCATTAATATATTAAGATTATCAGTCAAATAAAAAGAAATAATAGACATTTTTCCTCGAAGAAAAAGGAAATAGTAGAAGTGTCAAAAAAAAAAAA